GTGTGTGTGTGTGTGTCTTATTCTTACTTTTGTACGTGTTTATGTCATGCAGTTTCGGAGACATCATGTACGTATCTGTTTCAGAAGCTAGTTTTGGGTTCCACCTCTACCTTCTCTTCTGAGAACGTAATTTGGTCACTTTGATCAGCCTGGTTCTCCAACTGAATCCCTACGGGCTTCTCCTCGTCCGCCTGGAATGCTGTGTTCACCTGGTACATCTCTTCCTGTGCAAAAAGAGCCAGTTTTACAAGTTTTTAGAGTTTCTTTCCAAGCTTTCAACTTATTTAGTACAGTTTTCATTAGATTTTGTCAAACTCTTACTGTGGGTGGCAGGTATTCTGGTAAGGTTTGTTCCTTACTTACTATCGAATCTAGCATCATTATATAAATCTCTCATCCTTCTTTTTGTTTGTTACTCTCTAATAACACTCCTATTAGATCTACTTCTAATCTTCGGCACATTATGACCTGACTGTGTTGAAAGTACCGAAAAAATCTTTCGAAAAACAGAACAAAACCACATCTGTCCAGTGTGGTAGGGGTAGGAGTAGGAGGGCATCACAGGTATATCCTATTTAATTAAAAAAAAAACTACCCTTCCTTTTGTATTGTAGGCCTACGTATCTCTTGCTTTTCCAAACTGTGTACGTGAATGGCAGGTACATGTTCTCTAGTTAGTATGGTTTGCTCATGCTCTCCTATCACAAACATCTTCATCCATCGTCCTTATCTCTTCTCATTCTTTTCTTTTTCCCTAGTAACCCCTCTAATCTTCAACACTTATAATATGACCTAGTCGTTTTTGTGTTGCAAATCCCGTAAAACTAAAACTCTTACTAAAACTACACTAAAACTTCCCAACTCTAAATGCCCGCGTTTGTCTTTTGTGCTTTCTTTTACTTGAACTCAAGTTTGTTTCATGTGACGCTACGTCCAATAATTCCACAACCAAAAGACACCAATCAGTCTGCCGTACCGTCAATCTGAACTGTTTGTGCAATCTTTAAAAAAAAAAAAAGTTCATTCAACTCTCCCCCTTTTATTGCCCCCATGCACCTCCAGATTGAAACAATTACATTCATAACGTAATGAATTTCATCTTCCATTATGCAACATTTAGTCATTCAGTACTTTCTGCTCCCCCTCCCCCCCCCCCCTCTCTCTCTCTCTCAGAGAGAGAGAGAGAGAGAGAGAGAGAGAGAGAGAGAGAGAGAGAGAGAGAGAGAGAGAGAGAGAGAGAGAGAGAGAGAGAGAGAGAGAGAGAGAGAGAGAGAGAGAGAGAGAGAGAGAGAGAGAGAGAGCACTGATTCTCGGAATTCCAGAATTTAAACAATATTTTTTAACTCTGTAGGAGAAAAGAAATATCGTTTAAAGGTTAGAAGGAAAGATTTTAATCTTAATTTCAAAAGTAAACGGAACGGAAAAAAACAAACCTATCATTTAAGGGAGTGCTTATTTAGGCCACATATGGCCTAAATAAGATAAGGGAGGGGGTTAGCTTATTTAGGCCACACATGCTCAAACTACCCTTTTCAGGCGACTGAGTTCGTTCCACTTTCATAAGATGCACCTTTCTCATTTAGTACTTAGTACAGTTTTGTCTCAGTGTATAAATCATAATCATAATGAATATTGTAAGAACAAAGCACAATACGCAACATTTTGCTCAAGGGTGACCTTATTTAGGCCACATATGGCCTAAATAAGCTAAACCCCCTCCTTTGCCTTATTTAGGCCACAGGTGGCCTAAATAAGCTAAACCCCCCTCCCTTACCTTATTTAGGCCACACCTGTGGCCTAAATAAGCTAAACCCCCCTCCCTTACCTTATTTAGGCCACACCTTTATACAAAGTCACAGAAATATTCCTTTTGTGCTTATTGAGGTACAGTGCAGGGTGATTTTACCTGCAAGGATAATTGGACAAAATGGGCAAAATCTTTATTGCTAATGGTCATATTTAGACAAATCCTATATCATTGTCTTTTTTTTCTTAACTGCTCATGGTTATTAAAGAGTAAGCCAACTAGGTAGTAATTTCGGATTCCTAATACTAATATTATGGGCATTCTTAAAATTTTAAACTTGTTTTTAGCGCTTTTCTCAACGTAAAACGGATTCCGTAAAAAAACAATGACCTTATCTTTCTTTTTCAAAGTATTGTGCATATATTTGTGTGAAACTATATATTCTATGCTTTCATGTACATGAAAAAAGCTAATAAAGGCAAGCAAAATGTTCTTCAGAGACATAGATCTAGTAGTAGGCCCACTGAATTTTTTTTATAAACCGGGAAAGATGACCAGAAAATAACAAAATTATTTTATGATCTTCACTTGCACTTGCAATTTTTTGGATAAATTATAGTCTACCTCATTGTCTTTTTTTCCCCATCATTTTTCTTCACTATTCATGACAACTGGCATGTATTGTTTTCAGTTATTATCAATAAAGTGGATAGGCGGACTACGGGGTCTATCTAGCCAAAAGGATAGGTGGACCCCGGGGTCTACCTAACAAAATGCTAGGATTTAGGATGTGAACCCCGGAGTCAGCGCAGTGAAATAAGTAGTAGATCTAGGTTTAACTAAGGATCGGTGGACCCCGGGGTCAACATAGTGAAATAAGTAGATCTCAGTTTATTTTATAGTAGGACTGGCGGAGCCCTTGGTCAACGTAGTGAAATTATAAGTAGATATAGGTTTAATTGAAGATTGGTGGACCCCGGGGTCAATGTAGTGAAATCAGTAGATCTAGGTTTAATTAAGGATTGGTGGACCCTCGGGTCAATGTAGTGAAATAAGTACATGTAGATCTAGGTTTAATTTTAAGGATTGGTGGACCCTGGAGTCAACGTATTGAAATAGGTAGGTTTAAGGTGGACCCCAGGCTCTACCTAACGAAATGCTAGTTAGGTTTTTGGAATAGGTGGAACCTGCGGTCACCGTAGTAAAATAAGTAGGTTTAATCTAGGTGTCCCGGGGGTCCACCAATCCTTAATTAAACCTTCTTATTCCTCTACGGCTATGGTGACTCCGGGGTCCACCAATCCTTTTAAAATTAACCCTACTTATTTCAATACACTGACACCGGGGTCCACCAATCTTTAAAGAAACATACTTATTTCACTACGGTGACCCCGGGGTCCACCTGTCCTAAAACCTAGTATTTCGCTAGGTAGACCCCAGGGTCCACCTTAAACCTGCTTATTTATCACTACGTTGACCCCGAAGTCCACCTATCCGCTTCAGGACTAAACTATTATCAATTTGCAATTTTCATTGATTAGCAAATAAAAAAAAAAAATTGAATCAGAGACTCGCTGTCTAAAAAGTCCACTGCTAATGCTATTCTTTTCAAAGAAAATGGCACAATTTAATTTTATGACATGTTGAAAAAAAGAGTTTTAAAAATATCCCGAAAACAACATAAAATGATTATATAGATCTCTCTCTCTCTCTCTCTATATATATATATGTGTGTGTGTGTGTGTGTGTGTGTGTGTGTGTGTGTGTGTGTGTGTGTGTGTGTGTGTGTGTGTGTGTGTGTGTGTGTGTGTGTGTATTTTATTATGTATACTAAAAGACTGAGCAGAGGCTTACAATGTAAATTCTGTGCTCTACAAGTAGAGAAAATCTTAAGTTTGCGCAAAACAGATTCTAGAAAAAAAGTTGGATCTAATTATTCTATTAAAAGCAAAAGTGATTGTTATGCTGAGATTTGTTATTACTAACTCTGGAAATACAGTTACTTGCTGAATCTAAAAGTAACTAGATCTAGAACTGTGCAATTCGTTTTATTTCAATTCCAAAGCCCAAAGGCTTAGCAATAATAAGTTAGATCTAGATCTACAGTTGTAGGCTCTCTGGCTGCTTCTAGCATAGGCCTGCTACTACTGATTCTAGACAGGGAATCTAGATCTTGCTATCGCCTGCACTATTAAAGTCAAATATATGGTAAAACAAAAACAAAACTGAATTTTTTGTCAGTCAGTACATCCCAGTTGCCATAGCCGCACGTATTAATAGTTGAATAATGCGATACCGAAGCAACACGTTATCACAATGTGCAGGGGAGAGCGAGGTTCTCGGTCGATTCGGTGGTTCGGCTTTTGTAGATCTATCATGCATTTTTTACGGAAATCCCTATTACCTGGCCTATTACTAGATCTATTAGTGTTGTGAAAACTTCAACCTCTACAGCTCAGGCGTCAAAAGATGCTGGAAAATAATAATACGTCCTGAAGTTTCATAATTTATTTTTATACAGAATAACACAGTACACAGCCAGTAGTTTTTATTTAATCGAATTATAAAAATGGCCTTCGTATAAAAATTGCCTTGTTTTCAGAAGCAAATTTTAATAGTTCTAGTTCTACCGAATCGATTTTCACGCGAATTCAACCATTTTGATGATCTTTCTTTTCCTTTTAAAAAGATGTAGATCTAGGCCTGTCGGATGTGGCAGTGCGAATAACACTGAGTTGTTTAGATCTAGATCTAGACCCATCAAAACACGAGGCTTCGTGGCCGATCACAAAAGTCTACGGGGCTTATCGAGGCCGATTCGCCCTGCTGCGAGCACGTTCACTAAACTGCCTACTAGATCTAGATAGAATCTACTACCAAATATTCTCAACACGATCTTTCCTACTACTACTACTAGGCCTACTAGCCTACATGTACTACTACGAGACAGTACGAGAGACTGTCACTCAGGCAAAGATAGTGTAACTTTGACTCAGCCACGTAGTGTACACACTTTGACTTTTTATACCCCAAATTTAACCCGGAAGTCCATTCGGAGGATTTGACCTTTTCACTTGACCAAAGTGTGCCAAAATGGTAGCCTAGCTTTTGCCCCTCCATGAAGGAAAAATCTGGCCCTCATTCAAACCATTGGGATTGAGCAAAATTTTGCGTATTGTGCTTTGTTCTTTACAATATTCATTATGGTTATGCTTTATAAGTTGTACACTGAGACAAAACCGTACTAAATTAGATAGGTGCACCATTATGAAAGTGGAACGAACTCAGTTGCCTGAAAAGGGTAGTTTGAGCATGTGTGGCCTAAATAAGCTAAACCCCCCTCCCTTACCTTATTTAGGCCATATGTGGCCTAAATAAGCACTCCCTTTGCTCAATCCCAAGGGTTTGAATGAGGGCCAGATTTTTCCTTCATGGAGGGGCAAAAGCTAGGCTGCCATTTTGGCACACTTTGGTCAA